CTGTAGTTTGAATACACATATCGTTTTCCAGTTTTTTATGATATCTAACCTACATACATTGTATGCTATTTAATAAGATACAAATATTTCCAGCAGATTCTAAATTTTAAGGAACAGTGATTTTTTTCCCTTCTTAAGTTGGCATTCAACTGTCCATCAGCATAACCAACAAGCATCTTGGCAGATGATTCAGGACATATGGCTTTGAAAAATTGATACTTTAAAAGGACTTGGGTAAGTTTCCTCAACTTGTTCACCTTGTGTTATTTTCTTCTAAATGTACTGAAGCAGCTGCTGTAGCTAAAAAAGTTTGAAAACACAATGCAAGTAACAAATAACCATTTCCTTAGTAATAGTAATGTATAGCACAAAAACTTTACTTGGGAGTTTTTTGAAAGAAATAATCAAATACAATTCAAAGCTGTTAAATATATGTGCTTCATCTGCAGTCACCAGATGGCACCAGATATATCCATGTACTGATAATCAAAACTACTGTAACTCTTGTACAAGTCTTTGAGATCCAAAGCACATATATGGTGGAGCCCAACAGCTGAGGGGTCAGTAGACTGGGGAGTTTAGATTCAACTTAAAGAGGATCTGACTGAATGCTTTTTTGAGGGGGATAACATTAAAGAGGAAGAATAAGTGGTCCTTCTTGATTCTGAAAATATTCTTTGGATAAAATTTTAAAAATGCAGAACAAAAGTATTATTTTAATAAAATGCATTGATTCTTGGTTAGAGTTAACGCCTTTTCACACTTTTTCTCCTTTTCCTTTTAAATATTTAAATGTTTTAAAGCACCAAATTTTGAAGGAAAATTACTTCTTTCCAAAGACATTTCAATTGTCTTGAAGAGCTGTAGCTTTCTCTTGGCACAACTTAATTTTTTTTCTGGCTTTCTGATGTGGCCAGTGAGCTCTTGAACTATGCATTAAATTCTATCCTTAAAAATCCTTTAATTTAAAATATTACCAGATTATTTTATGAGGATGAAGCTGTAATTAGCTATTCCTTTTATATAGAATATATTAAAAAAATAGAGCTAATTCATTTAATTGTAAATTATGAGTTTTTTATATATATAGTATATATACACTTGAATACTCTTAACACTCATCACCAGTAAAATATTTGGGAATCTAAACTTCTTCAAGTCAGCAATATTTAGCACACATATTTTTCTTATTTGCTATTAATCTCCCTCCTCTGCAAATAACTTCTCTTCAAGAAAAAAAAAAAAAATAGCAAGAGAGTAAAATCTTGACCACAGTGAATTTATGGCAAAATTCTGACTAACTACAGGGGCCAAGATTTTACCACACATGACCAACTTACACAAAGAAGAAGAAAACCAAACAGACAATGATATCATGTTATTAAAACACAGAGTCTGAAACTGAATCATCATCTAAACAGAATGGCAAATATTTACAAATAACAAAAATAATCAAAGAAAGTCAAGCTGTAGTTTGAAATAGAATTTCAAAAGGAACTTGAGCCTGTGGGGAAAATGTAGCTTTCTGTCCACATACTGACGTACATATAAGTTTTAGCATGTAATTCTAAATACTCAGATTTTATATCTCTAGCTTGTTGTAATGAATTTTCAACCAGCATGTTATTTTTGATTATGCTTAATTTGCAGTTGTATCTGCTTCACTACAGCAAAATGCTTACTGCAAAAATGTAACCTACACTTATATTCACTTCATTGTTTCCTGTTCTAAAATGAACCAATTTGATTATCTGCATTTAAGTCACATGTAGAAGCTCAGTGATTGTTGGGATCCCCAGTACAAACAACAGCCTGAACATGCAAATAATCACAGCTTTTTTAAAGGACACTTTTTTGCAAGCACTAGCTTGCATGTAGCATTTGCATTTGCAACGGTCTTTCCTAGCCTTGTGCAGACACAAATGGAGATGTCACTGTTCAAATGATTCATGATTATTCTTCATGCTTTACAGTAATCAGCAGACCCTCAGCAAATATATCTGTGAAAAGAATGTCAGCTTTTGTAAAATAGACATATAAAATGTCAGGAGGATGTTAATGCCATTATCTCACAGAGAAACTACGGAAGAGAAGAAGCACTGCTTTTCATACTATCTAGCAGTACAACTAGCATTTCTACTGCAGTAGCTGTGACACATACCCAAGGATATAAAATCACTATACTGAGTTGGAAGGGACCCTCAAGGATCACTGAGTTCAACTCTTGGCTCCACACAGACCACCCAAAATTCAAATCTGGTGTCTGAGAGCGTTGTCCAAATGCTTCCTGATCTTTGTCAGGCCTGGTGCTGTGCCCACAGCCCTGTGCAGGCTGTTCCACGCCCACCGCCCTGTGGTGCAGGCCCTTTCCCTCACACCCAGCTGTCCCTCCCCTGACTCAGCTCCATGTCGTTTCCTCAGGCCCTGTCACTGTCACACAGAGCAGAGCTCAGCGCTGCTCCTCCGCTCCCTATGAGGAGCTGCTGCCGCCATCAGGCCTCCCCTCAGCTCCTCTGCTCTGCACTGAGCAAATCAGGGGCCTCAGCCTCTCCTCATACATCTTGCCTCACAGACCCTTCACCATCTTGGTAGCCCTCCTTTGGACATTCCCTAATAATTTATGTCCTTATATTGTAGTGCCTAAAACACGGTAGCCCTGGAAGTCCAAAGAACAGCCTGAAATACAAGCACTTGATGTAAGGGAAAAATGCAGGCGTGCTCTCTCTAGAGTCTATAATGAGGCTTATGCATCTTAAGACAAGTAACTGCAAAAGGCAGCATGAATTCCTCTCCCGGTAGCTCCACTTTTCTCCATTGGTAACTGTAGCTCAGACAGCCAGATTAGAGTTGAAACAATTCTGAATGTCTACCACTAAGTGAGATTAACTTCACTCTGCAAATGACGGCTCCCATTATAGAGGCTGAAGAATGGAGACAGGTGATTTAACTGACTTGGCACTGGGCCTCGCATTGTGCCTTCTGGCTCCTGGTACATCACACTGAGAAGGTCTTATATTTTGTATTCTTATCTGTACTTTCAGCTGAGAAATAATAAAATGAGCCAAACACAAAGTAAGTTTAGTTCCCTTCCCCTTCTCTGACATAAATCTGTTGTCGCCTTTTCTGTCTAGAAGACAAGGCAGACACACACATTTGTACAAAGAGCTACTATATGTCTTTCTTCCCATAACAAAAAAAAGCTTAGAATTCATGTTATTTTATGAGCAAAAATTATACTTTTACCTATCATCTGTAGTTCTACCCATAGCAAGTACATAATACTGTAATTAAAGTATATTGTAAAAATTATCCGAAAGGGTTCTAATCATTCCATCATATTATTCACTGAAATGCATTCATACAGTACTTATAATACATTTAAAAAAATGAAATAGATGAAAACAGAATACAGTATTGTAACTTCTTATAAGTCTTTCTTTCCTGAAGTAGTCCTGAAAGTATCAGAATTTATGGGTTATGTCATCTTGTCTCCACTACTTTCCTAAAATGGGAAGGATGAACAGGATGGGCATGAGAAACATCTTCTCAAGATGTTTCAGATTCATGCAAAGGGAGTAGAAGGAGTACGTATCTTTTAATATGTACATGACAAGACAGGATGCAAGACTACTGAAGATAGTGCTGGAATTAAAATTAGTTCGGTCCTGGCTCTCAGTGCGTCTTGCTGAGCTGGAGGAAATGGTGACCACCACATGGAGGGATTTAAACCTTCACTGAAATTAAGAATTCTGCCTGAACCTATCAGTGCTATCAGAGAGTAGCAGAGGAATCACCTGCGTATCATGTGACCTGCACAGTCTGGTGGCAGATCTGAAAGAGGAGATGGAAAAATTAAGGGAGTATATAAGGGAGATAGACTGGTGGAGCCACAAGTTACCGTCCCTACAAGAAAGGCACTGGAGGGGACACTACATACACATAAGTAGCAGCACTTCTCATTCCTTCTTGCAATCAGGCAGAAAGAGGGGCCCTATGAAATAGGGAGGAATGAAAAAAGATCCCTGCTTGGGATGACAAGCAAACCCCCTCATCGCCTACTTGGTCTTCCCAGGTGCCCTTACACAATAGATATGAGGCTCTGGAATTTGAGGGACAGGCAAATGAGGATGGTGATGTGAGTTCATCCAGAGAGTTGTTAAGGGCAAATCAGTCAGTTGCACACCTCTGCCAAGAATAAAAGAAGGGTGATTCTTAGGAGACTTCCTTCTGAAGGGAACAGCGGGTTGACCAGACCCTTCCTGCAGGGAAGCCTGCTCTCTGTCTGGAGGTTTAGTCTGGAGGTGGCTTAGGGGAGACCTTATTGCTCTCTTCAGCTACCTGAAAGGAGGTTGTAGTGAGGTGGGAGTCAGTCTGTTTTCCCAGGTAACTAGAGATAGTATGAGAGGTAATTTCCTATAAATCTCTGCAAGCGTAACATAAACAATGAAATGGTAGAGTGCTTGAACAAGGGAGAAATCAGACATTTCCTGGCAATTCTTCTTACTCACTAGAAGTCATTGCTTCTCATCCGTTCATTTCTTTTCTCTTTTGTTGAGTCTTTACTGAATGAACACTATTTGCCTAACTTAGTGCAAAGTTAGATAAGTATTCCAAAAGGAAGTTCTGAGAGTGATAAGCTAAATGTGAGTCCCATCCTAGCTTCACAGAAATTGCAGTTAACACTTCACTCAGCTGTAAGTGGAACACATTCTTAAGACTGGGGTAAGAAGGATGAAAAATATTTTTATTCTTACTTGTTAGATGCCAAATCTCATGACAACTACATTAAGCCCATAAGCCTTATGGACATATGTAGATGTGACTGATTGGCAGAGATGTCTAAACACAAATGAATACAGCATCACAACCATTGATTTTCTGATCTGAAATATTTATGCACTAGGATGATGTTTGGCTTTTCCTTCTTGCTTATGCTCTTTGCATCATTCTTCTCTTTTGATCAGATCAGATTACACACCAAGTGCAAATCCTATACATACCTGTTTCTCCCCACTGGGCTTCTTGTGGTTTAGCAGCAGTTCCACAGCACCAACCACCTCCTTCCTTATGGCATGCAAAAGAGCATCTCCCACATATACATTAAAACTTAAGAGCAGCTCAATGAGCTCAAGGTTCTCATTTTCAATTGCAATAAGGAGTGCAGTTCTTCCCAGGGGATCAATGCAGTTAATATTGATCTTGAAATAAATTTCTGCTTCTTCCAAGGCTTTCTTCACAGTGGCATAATCTCCTTTCTCCACAGCATTCAGATAGGCTTTCTCTGAATGGGACAGTTCAGACTCTGCTCGTACAATGCGAAGAGGGATACGATCTCTGTAGGGAGCATTGACACTTCTTTTGTAGTAGAACTGGGCCATATTTTATGCCATTCTAATACTTCATCTCTGAAACATCAAAAGAAAGATTAAATCAATAATGTATTTTGGGGTACAATGCACCAAATTAATATTTTAAGTATATAACTATATAAAACTCAAAATAAAGTGATGTTGAAAAAAGTAAATGTCTTCTATCTAAATAACCTGTGGAATCACCAACAAATGTGGAAAGGAAGACATGTAACCATCTTGTTCATACTTATCACTCAAAGTATGATGCCAGCACACAATATATATTTCCTAAACTTGTGGCAAGAATGAGGTGACATAGCTTGCAACAGATGTGTGGCCACATTTCTTCACTAAATTCTTCCATCTCATCTTTGCTGAAGTTTCAGAGTATGCTCACAAACAGTTGCTGTTTCCCAGTCCTAGAAAGCAACATTTTTTTGAGCTTGATTGTAGTAGCTAGTATGCCACTTTGAAACCTGTTCCTTTGCCCTTCCAAAGATATCTAGCTTTGTCTGACTTACACCTATTATTCCGCCTGCACTCCAGCATGGCATGGGTCTTTCCCTCTTCAGACTTCTGTACCAATGTCTCTGATATCCTATGCAACTCTAGTAACTGTGTGTGGTCCACTGCATACAGATCTTTTAACCTGTTTCTTTAGGTTGGGAAGACTACATTAGGTTTGGAATAGCTATTAACTGTTAGCTCTGCCAAGTGCTCTTCAAATACCCTAGAAACATAAATTAGTCTCTTCTGACTTATCTGAAATATATAGACTCAGCACGGTACAGTAGTGTACTTTACTACTAAGATTTTGATTCAATCTCATATACTATTAAGAAAAACATTCATACAAAATGCTTTTCCAGACAGCGCTTACTAACATATAAATTAGAATCCAAAGCCTGAAAGGAAAAGCAAAATATATATAAGAAGATAAAATCACAAGGACTGGTAGATAAAGATCATGGTTTTGATAATGCACTATTCAATTCTGAACTTGAATAGTGAAACACTGCAACTATGAAACAACTCTAAAGACTTGCAGCTGATAAAGCCTTTAATGACTTTGTTTTTACTCTGTACTTATTGAGCAAGAACTTTTTCAAAAGAAGTTCCTTCTAACAGGAATTTTCTTCAGCTATGTCTACCTTAAAAAAAAAAAAAAAGAAAAAAGTTACTTAAAAGAACAAGATATACATACATAAAAAATGCATTTACATTAGTGGCTAACCAGTTAGTCAAAGAAATGTAGCTTCTTGTCATTTTCTCAGCTGACAAAAGTTTGATTAACAGAATGTCTCTTCCTCCATTTTTTTCCAACATTGAGAAAGACATAATGTTTGTTTTATTTTGTGAGGTTTTGCTTGATTAAAATTTTCACAAGATGGCATGAGAAGCAGTGATTCATCTATTCCAGTCTCTGTATGCAGTGCAGGGAGAGGTAAATACAAAGGACATTAATAAGTTATTTTCTTTATTTTCTGGAGCAGATCAACAGAGCTTGAGGCAGGGAGGTTGCAGCAAAGGAGATATACTAGGAAAAAATTCCGTCTAGATCCATATATAGTAACTCAGCAATTGCACTTTGCAAACAAAATGTTTCCCAGTTCTTCCTCCACGGTGTTATCAATCTGCACCATAGGCTACTAGAAAGTGCACAGCTAGTGGATTATGTTCTGTTACAGTCACTATAAATAAAATACTTGCCTGTTGTACATTTTTGTGCCCCTGGAGCAGAGAGAACACATTCTTATTTTTAATATACTGCATTTTACCAGTTTGCCATTCACTCTCTTGTTTCTCAGGCTCAAGAAGAAATCAAGAATGTGTGCAATCAGTTCCATATAAATAAACCTAAATGTACATGTTCATGTATAGATACCTACATGAAAGTTAGGTTGCTACATTCTCATTACTGCTATGGAGATCTACAGCTCCATTCTACTCCCTATAAACAGACACCTCTTGCTGAATGCTGCAGGGCATACCACCTGGCTACAGCTGCTTCTTCAGGATGACTTAGGTCTCACGTAGATAGGTAAAATCTAATAACTTCAAGCTGTGCAAAGATGATACTCACTCTTCAAGAACCATTCATACAAAGATTTTATAAGATACTATGTTTTTGGAATACCTGAATAACTATTACCCAATTCTGCCTATGTGTAAAACATGCCCAGAATATTTTGAAATTGTGGTGTCTAAATGAAAACCCAGATATTAAATGTCTTAAAATTATGATTTATGCTAGAATCATAAAAGTATCATAAAAGTATCACTGCATGAAAAAAAAAAAAAAAAAAAGGAAGAGGTATTCATTTCAAAATAATCTTTACTAGATAGTTATGTCATGGCTGAAAATAAATTTGTTTTCAAAGTGCATATTTCTCCAAATTAAAATACTGAGCCTAGCTTTCCCACAACTAGACAAAACAAAACACCATCAAATACCTTCAAAAAGTTTATCTTCATTATTTTTTAGCAGTAGTTTCAATTATTATATTCATTCCCAAGCTAGTTGTAGGAATGATAGAACAAACATTAATTAAAATATTGATTAATTTTTATTCATTTTTATTAAAAAGTGTTCAATTGCTTTCATCCCATTAGTCTGGCCACACAATATGCTATGTTTTCTAATGTATATTTTAAGGTATATTTTAACAATTATACACATACTTTAACAATTTAGAGGAATTTTTCAAAAATACGATATTAAATCTACAAAATATTGCAGCTCAATGCTGGTAGAAAGTTTAGCTGTAAGCTAGCAATGTGGGAGCAATGGTAATGGGAGGACAGTTGGATTAAATGATCTTGTAAGTTTTTTCCAACCTTGTGATTCTATGATTCTATGATTCTAGGCAATCATATATAGAAAGAAAAATTACAAACATATCGACTCTTGTATTCAAGCCATGTCCAATGACAGGAGGTCATTGTGCTTTATGGATTCTCCCACAGCACAAGACAAGTCTGAAAGGGGTACAACTACCCGTGGAAGATTCATTTCAATCAATATTAGGGACAAAGTCAATTTATTTAAATATCAACATTTATCATCATATTATTACCATTCCATCTTCTGGTGTTTCTGTGGAAGGGTAGAAGTCTCTTCAGGTCTCATGTCATGCCTGCCAGCCCAGTAGTAAAATCATGGTCATCTCAGATAGCCTCAAACACACAGATTCTGCTCTGGAAACTGATTCTTGCCCTCATTATTTACAGTATAAGAATAAGGCACTTCATAACTGTGATTCCTCTGACTTATTTTAGACTGCTGCAATAGGTTGAGAAAATTCATACCCTTCTTTAACCTGGTTAAAAACTAATTTAGATGTCATTTCCCTTTTAATTGCCTTCTCAGCTTGATTTATGACTATTCTTATGGTATTGCACATTGTGACCTATAAAACTTATCTTACTGTATTGATCAGTTCTTTCTCCCTTCTTTGTAGTCTTCTAGTTATTCTTAATTTCCTTTTTAAGCTGATGACTCAGACAATTGAGTTTAAAATCCTTTCTGACACATTTTTAAACATCCTTACTTTTGAAAGTAAAATTTTCAATTACACTTTGTTCCTTCTAACTAAAACAAAAACAAAAACAAACAAACAAACAAAAACACCACTAAGACACTTTTGTGTTATCCCTTACTGCAAATAAATTTGGTTGGCTATTGATGTAAGGAACCACTGTCAGAGGGCATGCTGAAATTCCGAAAGCTAACAATTTCATATCCACTGGTAATTATAAATAATGATTAGTCTCTGAAATAGAGCCATTTTTTCAGCATTTTGGTGTTCTTTCCAGCAGAAAAATAAATTATGAGAAAATATTCACAGATTCAGAATAGGCAATAGCTTGAAGCTCAGAATAGTCTCTTGAAAAGGAGAATTATTTAAATACTTTACCAGGTGGACCTGGTAATAAGTGATTTACTAGATTTTCTAGCATCCTTTCCTCTCTCAGAAAGCCAACATTAAAGGAAAAAGAGTGAAATAGCTACTGATATTGGAAGATAAGATTTTGACTGAGATAACTTATAGCAGATGTACCCACTTAAGCATGGGCGTGCCCACACTATATAGTGCTCCCTGCATAATACTTTAATGAAAAATTGATGTGAAGTCAGTCCTTATCAATTATTTTATTTTTTACAGTAGTTGCTTCATTTATACTTGCTACAAACTAATATTTCAAATAAGACGTGAAACTTCCTAAGAAGTAACCATAGAGGCTTCTGAGAAGCCTCTGCAGACTTCAGCTCAGACAAGTGAGTAATTCAAGGATTTGTCTGTCATCTCCTGAAACTACTTTATATGTACTTTTTAAGGCAAAGGAGAGATTCTGACATTTGTTATATTAATGAAAGCATGAAATTTTCTTCCCAAAATAAGTATGTGACAGACTAACTTTAATCTGATACAGAATCCTATCTGATACACAGTAAAGATGATGTTCAAAGGGAATTTTTGAAAACAGAATTCCAGCTCTTGAAAGCCTCAATCCAAAAGAAGTATGAAGTTCCTTCAATTTCAGTTATCAACACAGACAGTTAGGTTTGAACAGGAACAAAAGAAATGCAGATAAACCATTGATTTCTGATCCCAGTATCAGTCCAAATAGTGGTGTATAAGTGAATGTTTAGACAAGTAAATTAAGCATGCTTCTAGTACTGAGGTCAGCTGGATGAGCTGTGCCCATACTGTTACAGTCTCAGGCCAAAAATAGGATATGAAAGCTAACTACTGGAATAAATTGTGGTCCATGCTAACTCCGAAATTGTGCCTGGAAATTGTGCAGGAAGACCTTAATTACCTGGAGCCAAGACCATTCCAAGGACTGCTGTAACAATGTCAGGCACAGCTAATGGAGATCCTGCCCATGCATGTCTCCCAGCACTATTTATTATACAATTCTTAGATCTGACAATACTATATACAGGGTCCTCTCCTGAAAGTCATTTGTCATTATTAGCTTTATAATCAGCTTCAGACCTGAAAGCTAATAATAGCAGATGTAGCAATTTGGACTTCAACGTAAAGTCATGCATGCAGGAGATAAAC